CCCCCCCCCAACCTTCTTGGATAAGGGCGAAAAATCTCGGAGTTCCCGAGTGCAAGTTGCGCGCGTTGGTGGTCCTGAAATCGAAAAGAGTAGGCTTCGGCCGCCACCTGGGCACAATTAAAAATTGTAACCAAACTGATAATGTTAAATGTGTACCACGCGCTCATAATTATGACGTTATACAGTTGCAAGCTCTATAAACACATCATCATCATCCAGTGCCAGATCTGCGACAGACATCGACGATCATGGTTCTCCATTCATTCCTTTTCTTGGATGCTCTTAAAAAATACGCTTACCTGACCTTTCCTTGATACCCATTTGTTTAGGTTCCCTTAGTAGGTTGCTCTGGGCCTATCCCTGCCTCATTTGCCTTCAGTTTTGCCAGCAAGAGCTAATTAATGTTCAAGACCCTTATGTCTATTCAGGTGTCCCAAAGTGGGTGGTTGGCGGGTGTTCTGGTGTGGTTTGCTTTTTCTTTCCTATCAAACATCCTTCGTCCTTATCTTCCCTTCTTCTTTTTTATGTTTGTTACTCTCTTGTGACACCTCTATTCTTCTGGCGCTCATATGACCTTATGCAGTTGCGAGCGCCGTAAAACCCTCTACTAAAACTAAACTAAAAGGTGTCCCAAAAACGTAAAACACATACCAAAACAAAACAAACAAAAACAAACAAAACCGAACCAGTGAACGTACCCGCCATGTCTCCTGCTACGAGGGCAGTTATTCTGTTGTTGGACAGGTCGACCTGCTGTAGGGACACGGGGGACCGAAGTGGAGCCGGCTCTTTTCTCCGAAGTGTTTCTCCGGGAAATGACGTAATTCGATTGTCTGCCAGTCGGAATTCTTCGAGGAGCGCCGTGTCTTTGAAAGCATCTGGGTCAACAGAAGCGATCGAGTTCCCCGAGAAGTCCACGCGTTTCAGACTGGGAAGTCCCGCGAATACACTCTTGTCCAGAGAGCGAACCGAGTTGGAAGTAGCGCTGACCGCCTCGAGGTTCGTTAATCCGGATAGAGAACCGGATTCGAACCGAAGCAGCCCGTTGTGGTTCACTGAGAAGGATGCGAGGCTCGACAACCCGTCCAGCATCCCGGGTCTGACGAGGCCGATGTTGTTGTGGTCGAGGGTTAGCGTGCGGAGGGAGACGAGCGGGGATAGTTTGGGGTTTGAGGACGGTCTAGAAGGATCTTTCAGGTCGTTGGTAGTCAGCTGATTGTTGGTCAGGTCGAGGTGCGTGATCCCGGCCGCCCCTTGGAAGGCGGTTGTGGCTATACTGGTCAGGGACGAATCCCGGATGGTCAGCCGGGTCAGGTTCGCGTTGTACCTGGGGAGGTCAGAGGTTATCATGAGTGGGTGGTTGGCGGGTGCTCTGGTGTGGTTTGCTCCTTCTTTCTTATCAAACATCTATCGTCCTTATCTCCCCTTCTTCTTTTTTTTTAATGTCTGTTACTCTCTTGTAACACCTCTAATCTTCTGGCGCTCATATGACCTTATGCAGTTGCGAGCGCCGTAAAACCTCTACTAAAACTAAAAGAGATGTTATCATGACACAGGAGTTGTTGTTGTGTGGTTGGCGGGCGCTCTCTGTTGGGATCGCCCATCAGATCTCTTCTTCTTTTTTGTGTATGTTAATTTTCAGTAACACCTATTCGTCGGCGGTGGCGT